TAAACCTTTATTCATATTTTATTTTTGAGTGGAAAGAAAATATTTTCAAATATTTGGAAATGTGTGAATGAGGAAGGAATACTAAATAAAGCTGGAGTTGTGACTCAAAAGATTATAGACCCTAATTCGAGGTAGCCTAAAGAGAGAAAGGCCAAAAGATAAAAAGTAGTGAAAAAGGTTAAATAGACCTTATGTTATGCAAGTATTGATTCTTAATTTTCCAACCTTCCTCACTTCTTTATCTTTCATCCTTTCTTTCCTTTCCCTGCATTTGGGTCTATAATCTTATGAATCCCAACTCCAGCTTTTAGTATTCCTTCCAGCATTGCAAGATCTGGCTACCCTTTTTTTAGTTTGGCATAAAAATATCATTTGATGCATTGGCTACTTTAACTTAATTTATTGTAACTTTATTATAATTATATATATGCTTTCTGCCAATACATTGAAAAATATAAAAACAAATAAAAATTATACTTTAGGCCGACTGGAATTCTTTCGGATAACCGACTTTTGGATAAACGACGCTCTACTGTATAATGCAGTTTTATTTTTTCTCAAAATATTTATACTTCCTCATTATGTAAATATTTATTTATTTTATTAACAAAATAACAAATTTATGCATTTTAAAAAATACTTAGGTTATGTTTGAATGTAAAATGATCTGACCATTATAATAGTATTCCTGAATCTCATAAAATTAGGCATACGTCTTTATGCAAAATAAAATTGGCACACTGATCCTGGAAGGTTGCTAATCCCTAGTGTCTGTATTTTAATTTTTTCTGAATTTTATCAGCCAGCAAAATAATAATAAATTTATTCAACTTTATAGATGTTGCATATCATTTTGATCAGTTTACTGTGTGGGTGAACCAAATCTTTTCTGATAGAATATAAGATGTGCCAAAGTCATAATGGAAATGGAAATATTCCTTTTGTTAATTTTATAATGAAAAAATACAAAGTGAAATAATTGTTTATTCCTTACTTCTTATTAGTGAATACATAATTCAAGTAAACATAAATTTTCCTTGTGACAGTTGCTGAGGTTTTGCATTAAAAAAACTCATGAATGGATGTAACTTTCAATAAACATTTGCATACTGTAACATCTGCTGATATGAGTAATCCATTGTTTTTGAATCCTTTACCTAGTGAATATGGACTTTTCTAGTTTAACTATATTAATTAAGCTGATATTATTTTATAAGTTATATATGATTGTATTATGTTATTTTAGCAGATTAAAAAAATCAACAACAATCTAAAGTAATNTATATTATAAGAGAATATTTTACTTTAATTATTTGATACTAAAACAGAGTGCAGTGTTGACCCTTCAGTCCCGTGGTGCCGAAGAATAAGGGGCACTTCGTGCATTGTCACACTACCAATTTCTTGTTTTCTCTAAGTGCTACGATGTGTTTTGTGAATATGAAATATAAAATATTGTTAATTTATCATAACTTACAACATAGTATCTCTCCAATATTGTATCTTACAAGACATTTGTGAATTTGGACCCAGGCTTGTAGAATATAGTAGACACATAATTTATAAAGGGATCATTCAATACAATTTATTACTCTCTCTCTCATTTGTTTATTATCTGTAACAATTAGTGACTATTGAACTGCACCAGATATGAATGTTGTTAGGCTGCAATTTGAAAAAAAATTGTAGACCTATAATTTCCCACTATTGTCTGTCTGTCTGTCTTTCCTTAATCTCAAGAACAGAGTTAGATAGATAGATGAAAGACAAGACAAGATATGGAAACCTTAGGGCAGGAGGCCCCAATTAACTATATATGAACTTCCAATGCAAACCTGAAGTCATGTTATTTCAATTCAAAAATTTCTCCCAAAAGGTGTTAGATGACAGGCATGACTCTGTTGTTAAAGGAAAAGTATGATGTACAGAGGCAAGCCACTATTAAATTTGTGATGGACAGCATATGTTTTAAATTAAATAAATTAAAAATATGATTAAAAATTGCAGTCTGACAATATCACAATAAATAATTGCTCATTTCATATTAAATTTACTTGCAATTAAATAATATAAATATACAGTAGAGCGTTGTTTATCTGAATCAATTGGGGACTGTGGTTGTTCGGATAACTTATTTTTCGGATAACCAATTATGTACGAAAAAATATATTAACCTATCCCATGTTGAAATTTTTCTCCGTTGCATGTCGCTTCGCGTTGAATTTTCGTCAATGTTAAGCCTAACGTAAACTTTTTAAAATAATAATCGTGGCTATTGTATCATTAAAAATGATTTCTTTATGTTTTACAAACGAAATAAATACATTGAAAAATATAAAAACAAATAAATAAAAATTATACTTTAGGCCGACTGGAATTCTTTCGGATAACCGACTTTTGGATAAACGACGCTCTACTGTATAATGCAGTTTTATTTTTTCTCAAAATATTTATACTTCCTCATTATGTAAATATTTATTTATTTTATTAACAAAATAACAAATTTATGCATTTTAAAAAATACTTAGGTTATGTTTGAATGTAAAATGATCTGACCATTATAATAGTATTCCTGAATCTCATAAAATTAGGCATACGTCTTTATGCAAAATAAAATTGGCACACTGATCCTGGAAGGTTGCTAATCCCTAGTGTCTGTATTTTAATTTTTTCTGAATTTTATCAGCCAGCAAAATAATAATAAATTTATTCAACTTTATAGATGTTGCATATCATTTTGATCAGTTTACTGTGTGGGTGAACCAAATCTTTTCTGATAGAATATAAGATGTGCCAAAGTCATAATGGAAATGGAAATATTCCTTTTGTTAATTTTATAATGAAAAAATACAAAGTGAAATAATTGTTTATTCCTTACTTCTTATTAGTGAATACATAATTCAAGTAACTTCTTAAAAAGGAAGACAAATTCTAATACAGGTATACTTTGGGTTATGTAGTTTCGAATTAAGTTGTTCTCGATTATATGTCGTTTGTCAAAAAAATAAACTCGATTTTTGTTTTTCCATATAAGTCATTTTATTTGACTTTATGTCTGTCTGCCGCAAATGTTGAAGTTGTAATATCACTAGAAAAGCACATTGTATATATTTTAATATGATTTTGTTACAGTAAATGTTAATATAATCATCATAAATCCTAGAGAACAAAACATGAAAATATCTGACTCTGTGTTGTCTTATTTAGCAGTCTTTAAGAGTATTNAAATTATAAATATAAATTATATATATATATATATAAGACTAGACGGAAAAAATACATTAATTTGGCTATTATCTAAGACAATTTTCATTGGGACAAACATTTTCATTCATTTACTTCTTATATTATTATTTAGAATATGCTAACCAACAATACACATTGAAAGTTAAATGGATTTACTTTATAGTACTGTTTTCTTTCTAGTGTTGCTGCTGTTTGTTGGATAGCACATTATGTGAAACGTTTATTGGAAACATTATTTGTTCATCGATTTTCTCATTCCACAATGCCTATTAAAAATCTCTTAAAGGTAATTATGAATTTATATTTATAGATTTTCACAATAGAACAAAGTTTTTAATGTAATCTTAGCTTTTATTTGAAAAATGGAAAAATATAGCTTAAATTGATTCCACTAATTTATGATGCAATATAACTCAAAATATAGTTAGTTTTCAATCTTTATGTAATATAAGTATCTAGATTAACTGATGTTGCTATTAGAAATTTTAATCATACATAGATTCCATTATGGCATGTTTTCTTATGATGATAAAATATTTTTATTCTGCTCATAAGTCTCTTAAGTTTTGTTAGTTGAGAAATATTAATGTGTAAACTAGCAAAAGATTTTAGTTTTAAAATTTATAGTCTTGATACAGGGTGTTTAGCTTAACATGATATAAGGATTTCTGTTGGAAACAGTTGCTTATATGGAATTTTTGAGTTATATTCCTTTAGTATTTAATGCCCAACCCAAATATGCCTCCAATAATTTGGTTTGTGTACAAGTGTGTGAAAAATATGTGCAACAAGCTTATTTTTTGAAATAGGAAGGAGTATGTTTTAACACTACATTTTATTTGAGAAACACTAAGAAGTTTATCAAAAAAAAACAGACTTCACAGTTTTTGTATTTTTTGCAAAAGATTGAACTTTTCAATGAATAAAATTTGCATGCAAATTGTTGTAAAATGCTGTATTATACATTATTTTCAAAAGCTGATAGATGCAGTGACATCCATCTTTTGACTTCACTTCTCATTCTTGCAAATTTTTGGAACTTGTGTGTGCATACCTCCTTTTTCTTTGGAATTTGAATTATGCAAAAGTAATTGACATTGGAAATGGAAATATTCCTTTTGTTAATTTTATAATGAAAAAATATAAAGTGAAATAATTGTTTATTCCTTACTTCTTATTAGTGAATACATAATTCAAGTAACTTCTTAAAAAGGAAGACAAATTCTAATACAGGTATACTTTGGGTTATGTAGTTTCGAATTAAGTTGTTCTCGATTATATGTCGTTTGTCAAAAAAATAAACTCGATTTTTGTTTTTCCATATAAGTCATTTTATTTGACTTTATGTCTGTCTGCCGCAAATGTTGAAGTTGTAATATCACTAGAAAAGCACATTGTATATATTTTAATATGATTTTGTTACAGTAAATGTTAATATAATCATCATAAATCCTAGAGAACAAAACATGAAAATATCTGACTCTGTGTTGTCTTATTTAGCAGTCTTTAAGAGTATTGGCATTTTCCACGGTAATTCCAATATCTACCACTTGGCGTCATTGTCAGCGCCATTCGATATTGATAAATTTAACATAAATTAGTTTATTTCTACTATCACAAAATAATTTTAATACAGGTATACCTCGAGTTACGTCGTTCCCAATTATACATCGTTTGTCAAAAAAGTATACGAAAAAATAAAAATCAAGTTTAAGTCAATCTATTCGACTTTACGTCCGTCCGCCACAAATATTGAAGTCGTAATATCACTAGAAAAGCGTTTAAAGCACATAAAATCATATTAAAATATACACATTTACAAGTATGTACTGTATTTACAGTACTGTACATGTATTCATAAATTTAAATTACTTTTTTTCTGTATTATATTAAAAACTAAAATTTGTTTGTTTGTAAGCTTAAAATAGATTCTTATTAACCATATATTATTAAAAATGCATTTATAAATAAATAACTATTTCTGGTTTAGCCTAGTGACTAGTAAATTCAGTTTAAGTCACCTGGAACAAATTACCGACGTAAGGCGAGGTATATCTGTATTTACTTTATTTACAAGCTATGTTGTGCAGTGGTTGACACTTCTTGAATACTCAGACCATGAAACCAGTTTGACTCATGCTTTCTTTACATAGGTGAAGAGAATCTGACTACAAATAATATTTGAAGAACTTTGACAGCTACATGGATTCTTGTATTGTGTTAAGTTGAATACCCACATAATAGTAATCTTTATAAGCTTTCAAATTTTTATGAGTTAACAGAAAAAAAAAGTAGATACTAGACAAGACATTTAGTTATATTTTTGTAATGTTTTTTATTTCATCATTTTCTAGATAATAATTCTCTCATTAAGTTTTTTTCTTGAATGGTGTATAAATAATAAGCAAAAGAATTGAAGTGCAAAGCTGTTACTAATAAGGTTTACTGATGTGATTTTATTTTGTTTCCCTATTTTCAGTGTCTCATTAATGGAACTAACTTAAACAGAATATTAATTTAATTGTAGATTAACTTTTTTTAAAACAAAATATTTTATACCACCACATGGACTAGATAAGATATAATGATAAAGTTTAATATTGCTATTTTGTTACTCTGATCATTATAAAAGTAAACAACTATTATTATTTTTTTGTTTTTAAAAGTAATGAAAATATTATAAAAACTTACATCATCAACTAATTGAGGACTTCTATTCTATTCAAAAATGGGATAACTGGAAGTTTTCTCACACACTTCTAGGCAAGAGAGCATAATTTAATTTCCAGAGATAGAAAGAAACAATATTTAAAAAATACTGTGCGTCATGCACAGTATTTTTTAAATATTTTGCTTAAGGTTTGTTGAAAGTTATTTAAGAATATTCATGTGTGTGTGATATTATCAAAAATTATATAACTTAATACAGTATATGCTAAAATGTGAAATAATTAAATTTTTTTGTAAATTTTTCTTTGAAATTTAAAATATGAGTTATATAAATGTTTTTGCATAAAAACGGTGTAGGAAACAAATATTTTGTTTGAATTTCAAATTGTACCAATTATCCCATGTTTTCATGCAAGTCCTCAATCTATATCTAGGTCAGTGTATGAAAGTTTTCTGTTTTAATTGTAATATGATTCGTAATAAAATTATGGAAAAGTTATAACAACATTCAAATATTTTTAAGCGTGAAAAAATTGTAACCAGTTAAATTCTTTGCACATCTTCAGAAGAATAAATTATTTCTAATTTTAGTTCCATATTATATTTTAATAATAAAATGAATTTTTTTTTTTCAGAATTGTTCATATTATTGGTTGTTTTCAATTTTTATTGGCTACTTTGTTAACCATCCATTGTATACTCCTCCAAGTAAGTATAAATAAAATTTTTGCGTGTTTTTGAAATTTAACATTTATGAAAAAGCAATGTAAATATTTACAATTTGATCATAAAATATCTTTTGAAGTTAGTTACTAGTTTTGCTGTTGTTACCTGAATGCTTTGACAATATATTATGTAAAGTATTGTTTTTAATGCACACATAATTTGAAGATGACTTCCTTCATGATAGCAAAGTAAGATTTTTGAAAAATTTTTCAGAATGAATAAAACAGACAATGGTCACAATAATGTAATTCACACGGCTGATGTTTAAAATCAGCCTTGAAGCAAAATTGCATGTATTATTAACAACTTTCATGATATCTGACTTAATTCTCACAAAAATCTCTATGATCATCTTAGTAAAATACTATTGAATACTGTTGTGATAATTTATTTGTGCACATATTTCCAATATCTGAATACAACAATGCATATTTTCATTGAAAAGTTGAAAAAATTATCTTAGAATTGAATAATAAGTTGTTGTTATGTCTTGTTGGAAAAAATAGGTTTTCCATTTGTAGAAAATTCAATTCAATACTATTAAAAATTTTTTCATTTTATTGCATGTAATGAAAAATAAGTATTTATACCAAGAAAAAACAAAATTATAATACTCATGTTTGAATGTAAAGGAGAGGACATGGCTTGCAGCCATTCACTACAAAATTGATATTTGCAAGGCACAGTGGATGGAAACTTTGGACATGTATTTGCTCATTTTTGATGTACTTTCACTATGTCCAAGATGATCAAAATCAGTGGTTAGTCAGCCGTGTCCTCTCCTCATAAATGAAATAATACTAAATTGTTAAATTTATTTTAGTATTATAACATTATTGATAGAGACATTGCTTTATGATAAAAATATTTTAAATTAAATTTCTTTAGAGTTTGGACCCCTTCAAATTTATTTGGGACTTGCAGGTTTTGTGGTAAGTTTTTTAGTGATGTGTGATCTTTTGGATCATGCATTTTTTTTTGTTGATTATATTCTTAATTATCTGAAACACACTTTTTTAAAAATTTTACAGCAAAGTGAAATTGGAAATTTTAGCACTCACTGGGTTTTTAAAAATCTTCGTGCACCAGGTAATTTTGCATAAAAACTCAGAATAAAACTTGAAAATTACTATTATAATTTTGTGCTAATTTAATATAAAAAATGTGCATAACACATTAGTCAATTTTTAAATTAATATTAACTTCTACATTATTTCTATAAAATTTTATCATCTCTGTTAAATGTCATAATAACCATAAAAATATTTCACTCCCCAGCAACAAGTTCTACCATTATTTTTTCTTGATTTAAAAGTTTCATGTAATCTGTTTGGGCTGCCAAAAATCTTCCATAAGAATCTGTTATACACTCAGAAAATGTTTACTTATTAACCTCTTGCTTATATAAAAAAAATACCTGCACTTGAAATTATTGTCTTGAGATTTCTATCCTTTATTCTGTAGAAACATGTACAGTACATTTCTGGGCTTTTGGTGTCATAACCAGCATGGGTGCAACATTAGCAATGTGAACCATGATGATTATATTGTATACATATTTTGTTCCATGCACAATGTATTTTTTAAAATTCCATACCCAAATAATTAATTAATTAAACATTGAAAAAAATGTGATGTTAGCCATAGATGGAGCTAGAAAAAAATCCATTATTTCATAATCTTACTGTAGTTATACATGAAATTATCTGCATTACATAATTTAAAATTAATCATTATAAATTACGCAACCAACACCTTATTATTCGCTGAGGGATTTTATTAAAACGAACGTTTTCGATCTATTCAATGGAACATATCATAAATAGAATAATAAGTTCAAAATTCAAAAATATCAAAAAACCGATAACATATCAACTAATAAGAATAAACAATAAATTGTAAAAGATGTAATATATACAAGTAAAAATAAATAACACAACTACTAAACATTAATACAATCTATCATATCTAATTATAAGCTACTATTAATGTTTAGTAGTTGTAATATGTTATTTATTTTTACTTGTATGTATCTTTTACAATTTATTGTTTATTCTTATTAGTTGATATCGATTTTTTGAACTTATTGTTCTATTTATGATATGTTCCATTTAGCCTGATGATGATCTATTGAGTAGATCAAAAACGTTTGTTTTAATAAAATCCCTCAGCAAATAATAAGGTGTTGGTTGCGTAATTTATTTATTTTTCTGCTGGGTACGATAGAGTTCGATAATCATTATGATGCATATAAGGGATGGAGGTGTTAAAAGCAACGATAAACACTAGGTTCACTATGCAACTCTGGCAACAAAAATGAATCATTGTTATTTTGAATGTGTATGTATGTAATTAATAGTGTCCCATGCTGTGCATTGTTTCTTAGTACAATTTAGGGCATTGATCTAGGATGTGTGTGGTGATGGTTGAAAAGTATAACTAGGATAATCTCATATATTAATTCTTGTAGATTCCTAAAGATGATGATAAACATAATTTATTGTAACAAAAACAAAATATTAAAATGCTTTATAGAGGCAAAAAATTAGATAATTTACTACTGGCCTTAGAGAATATTATAGATAAAATTATTATTATTATTTTACCTTATTGTCATCTAGAAATCTCTCCTTGAAAATTAGTTACATTTTTGTGTAATTCTTTATTATATAGGAACCAAAGAACGTAAAATTCCTATGGCCACAGGAAATCCTTTCACCTATCTGTTTAATTTTGTATCCTGTCCAAACTATACTTACGAAGTAATGGCTTGGTTTTCTTTCACCATAATGGTTCAATGTCTCCCAGGTATTTTATTTTTTCAATTTTTAATACTAAGTTTGTACAAAGTACAGAACTATTTAAAAATTTTTTTAGCTGGAATGTTCACCTTATTGGGATTATATCAAATGACAGTCTGGGCACTTCAAAAACATCATAACTACAAAAAAGAATTTGAAGATTATCCTAAAAATAGGAAAGCGATCATTCCTTTTGTACTATAACTTTTGTTTCAAATCAAGAACTGCATTTTAATTCTGAAAATTATTTAGAATTTAACTAATTGTATTTATTTTGTGCTTAAAAATCAAGATTTAAAGAAAACATCCATTGAACATTTATTTTGACAGTTACAGCATAGCAAGATACAATGTCAATTCTGAATAAAACTATAACTATAACAACAACTTTAGAAATTTAGTCATAGAATAATCAAATGCATGTATGATTCTAAATTGAAAAAACTGCTGTATTAAAGAGCACTTAAGTTATTCTTTCAGTGCAGTTAAATTGATAGCATGATGTACACACCAAAAATAAAATTTTAATGTAATTGCAATGCACATAATAGGAGCTGAGATCTAGTGCTAACTATTTGTTTTTTTTAATATAACATTGATTTATACCCAATGTTGTCAATAATATATAGAATGAAGAGATTTACTGTTAATGGATTATACTGTTCGGAGGCAAACGATTGCATTGGTGACTACTTGAAAATGTAGACTTTGATTCTGATTTGCAATACAGTTTTGTTTATTGATCTATTTTCTGTCAGTACTTCTGAAGTACTGACAGAATATGAATGAAATGAAAGGGAAACATGGTAATTCATCAATAAGAAATCTCCAGGCTCTTGCAATCTGTTCTGCATATTTAACATCAACAGAATTAAATATAAATCATATGTTATGCACTAATCCATGCTTTTCATCTTTTTCCAACAGTCTCAAACTTTCTTCATTGTGCATAGTACAGTTTAGATAACAAAATTTATTGTAAGCTAACAGAGAAAAATGAGATTTAATTCTGGCCAAAGCAGTACATTATTTATAATGTAATTATGGAAAAGATAAGAAATTTATATTTTGAGAAAATATATGCTAATTTGCAAAACAATTACTTGTCTAGGATATAGTAAAATCTTCATATTTATCTTAATTATGAGTGTACCCAATAAAATTTATAGTCGTGAAAACGATTTTTTGTACTGAAAGAGTGAATGTGGGCACGTATCATTTTATGCTATCAGAGAGTGTGTCCAAAAGGAGTAGCAATTCAAACAAATCAATGCCATTGCATGGAATATTAATGTTTGTGGTTTTGATGTCTATCACTTCTAGTCCATGTAAAATAATTACCAAAATGTGCAAAAGTTTCAAAGAATTTTTCACTTTTGTATTAACAAAGTATTACAAACTGTAGTGAAGGATGTGAATTTTTCCAAAACCCTTTGTTTCTTTTTAAGTTGTTACAAATTATATACAATATTTATTTGGTTGTGTTTTATATAGTGTCCAATGAATTTATATATGTATATATATAAATTTATTATTGTGTGACTATTGTATTTTAAGTCAATAAATCCTATATTTAAAATTTCATTAGGTTTGTCTTTCATTTTGAATATCTTCCAGACACTCCAGTTCTGTAATAAACAATATTACAGTGTCTACTTTATTAATATCAAAGGCTAAATTGTTTTGTAACAGATTAAATACAATTATACAATTTTTACTCACTAAAAACCGAAGCTAATACGTATTTATGAATTTCATTTTGCCAATTTCTTAATCATAAGGCTGTTAAGGTGTTAGTGCTCTGAGAACCAGGGATCAAGTCAATGCAAACAGTTTCCCAGGAATTTTTCATGTGTGGTCCAACTCACAAAACTCAAGAGTTCTTACACCTTTGTTAATATGTTAATAAGAAATTTATGAAGTTTCTTTTTTTTTAATTCGATTTTACCAAATAATTGGAAACAAGAACAAACAAATCATGAAAGTTTCATAACTGAAGAGAATAAAAATGTCATGCAAATTTCTAGAATGTTCTGTACAGAGTGAGTAACTCCAAACTTAGGTACTTACGTGTTGAGTTGAGTTATCAAAGGTGTTTCTTCTTTCATTTTTAATCTTGTTCACAGAAAACACTTTGAGCACTTTCTATTTTTCTTAGGTTGTTTATTGGACATCTTTTCTAAGTTTTTTTGCAAAACATAATTTAATAATAGACTGAAAAGGTAAGTTAGTTACTTGAAAACTGCATCCTGGTTATTTGTTTACAGCTAAGATCAGGTTGGATTTAATTGGGGATAGCAAAATGTTGAAACGATGATACTGATGACAGGAATGGAACCAACCAAGAACAGCTTGCACAAAATTCATTCTTGAGATGTGGTATTATTTTTGAAGGACTTGGGTTTGCTTGCAGTGGGGATATTTGTTTCCATTTGGTCATCTCTGGAAAAGTAAGGAATATTTGTTTCCAAGGACAAGAAAATTCATTTTCCAGAGCTTTGGTTGGTTGGCTTACTCCTGTGAAATCCTGCAGGTCTTCAGACACTTACCTTAACACCTCTCTTCTAATTAATACTGTTTCCTGTCAAATTTATATACAGTTCAAGTAACTGTCAAGGAGAGATATATACAATATGATTTAAAACAATGAGTGTCCTAAGAGATATTTAAATATTTGTCATCACAACCTTTTCCTACAATCCAAGGCTTCCAATTTTGCCTAGAAACAGGTAAGGAACCCAATCTACACCAGCAGAAATTGAAATTCCATCACCAGGGAAGGGTTATATTATAATATTTATCTAAATGATTTATTATATTGATACCAATTTCAAGATCACAAGTCACAGAATGATGTATAGTGCCACAGTGAAGGCAAATTAAACACATTCGATTACACATACACAGAGCTCTTTATTAGTGTTAATATCACTGAAAAACTGTGATTATATTGAGGAATTCTGTGCATTGTAGCTAAAGGCAACAGTGAAGTGCATATCACAGTCTTGTTTGAACAACACAATGTGGTAGACTGGATTTTCATTTGAGATTGTGGTAGACTGGATTGAGATGTGTCCACCATGTACCACTGTTGGCAGAAATGGTCCAAGGAAGGCATTACAACCGGGAGTCCAGGCTCTGGACCTTCCTGGACACTGGAGAGAAAGATTGGCACATATGCAGGATGTCCTTGGTGGGCAGCAGTGGCATCCATAATCATCACAAGAACTGTTTGGAGAGTAGCCTCTGCTCCAGGCATCAGTGGTGTTGCACAAGAGCTCATTGGAAGGCAGAATGGAATGGTGTAGTATTCACAGATGTTTCTGCTTTGGTACCTGACTTAGACAGATCAGGAGGAGGCCTGGAGAATGTCTGTTGGCAAGCAACATCTATCATTGGCATACCAGTCCAATCTTAGGAATTATGGTTGGGAGGGTCTCTTACAATAACAGGACCAGGTGGTCCTGTTATTGTAAGAGCTTCATGACAGCAAATGTTTACATCAAAATGGTAATTGAATCCATTGATCTGCAACTCATGAACAGTACTGAGGGGGCATGTTTCAACTGGATAATGTTTGTTCCCATACTAAGGCTGCAACTCAACATGTTCTTCAAGATATATGTTGCTAGGAAGGCACTTACTATCAGCACATGCTCTATCTAGTGATATCAATCACCAGATAGAGCATGTGTGAGACATGATTGGATGATGGATCCAGACTCATCTGCAATTAGCAATGACCATTGCCAATCTAATCCTATGGGTGCAGCAGGTGAGAAATGTCCATCCACAGGATGATCATCCAACACCTCTTTTATCAAATGCATGCACCTCTGGATATATGCATTCAACATAGCAGTGACCACATTAGGTATTGTAATGGATGACATTTTCTATTCACAAAATGTGAACTCAGCACCATATGAAAGTTGTACTCCTGAAATTCATATCAATGTAATAAATCTTGTAGATAAATATTCTGTGTAATTTTCATTTACCTAGTATAACTCTTCTTTGGTGTTGGGATTTCAATTTCTGCCAGTGTACATGAATCTGTGTCCTTGGAGCAAAAGACTCCTATTCTACTGCTATATTCATCAATACTGACTTTCTTTCATTTCCTTCACTGGCTTTGTGTGTACTTCTCTTTGACTAGACTCCAAATTGTGGATTCCATCATTCTACTTGAGTACAAACTGGAAAGTTGAAACTTGAGTTCTACTTGAAGCTCAAACTTTCTTTGAGGTTTGCTATTTCAGAGCCAACCAATTTATGGATTTTTGCAGGAAAAAACTGTTAACCAAAAGTCAAGATGTTTCTCTTAATGAATGGTTTTTAAAGTGTAAAAATGGATCATTCTTCATTCTGAGTTCACACACTCACAAATGTGACTTCCTTCTGCTTGCATTGAAGACCTGTTTTGAAACCCAACAAAATGAAGTATCTGGTTTTGAATTTCAGTCTGTGACCAGAAGTCACATGACCTCACTCCAGAAAGAAGGATGCAGCTTTCTGTAAAGCAACATCAATCTTTTTAGACTGCTTAGTGTTGGTTCCCAATTTCTCAAGGAATATTAGTAAATGAGCCATACAGAAATTGAATAAAGCATTTGATTACTTCAAGTGGCAAAAATCAACTGTTTACCACAGAAGTAGCATAATGGAACTGGAAGATTTTAGAAAAATTTTTATATTAATAGGTAACCTTTTACCTTCAGAATTATGTTCTGAAAATAAAAAAGTAATCAAGGGAAAACAAGATACTCATGACCACTGTAGAAACAGTGAAACTTTATGGATGGCAAGGACAAGCAACTTTGAGTTTCCCAAGGCTAAAAGGAAGCTGTCAAATGACATCTGAAGTAACAGCTGTGATTGATGGCAACTTCTGAATGAAATTAGAACAGGCCAGTACACAAGCAATGGAATCCAAAATATAGTCATTTCTATTTTTCACAAGAAAACCTTGGAAAAGTTGGTAGAAAGTATTAATAAATCTGAAGCTTTTTCATTGCTTACTGAAAAAAATCAGACATTTCTGGTTTAGACAACTTTTCATATATGTGCACTAGTGGAAAAAAATGTGACAAAAGGTGACAAATGCATTATAAATGCATGGTTAAAGAGGTTTTATGCATGAGACAAACTACACAGAAAAAAAAACACAAAATTTGATTGCAGTTATGGTTAAGAGAATGACATTGATACATCTTACCTATTGCTATATAGTTTATAAATATGGTAAAATTAAAAAATACTGTCCAAACTGAGTTCAAAGAATTCTTAGAAGAAAAATCCTCAGTTGTGAGAAACAAAAGTGGGAGCTGAAGCTTTTCAACTAACAAATACCATTAAAAATTGCAATTGCATAGTAATTTCTATTTTTGCAATTGCAATTCCAAATTTTCCCCCAAATCCATCAAACATGCCAACCTTAACATCTCTCTCTCTCTCTCTCTCTATCAAAAAACTGTGCTCCTTGCATAATATTCTTGTTCTTGTTTTACAGTTAAGAAGGGCAATCCTTTTAGCTAGGACTTTGCCCTGTAAGAATATGAAAGAAGAGTTTAGGAAAGTTGATGATTAGGAGGAAGAGGAAATAAAGATAGATAAGACACTGTGAAATAAGAACTTGCATAATATTCCATAAAGGAACTAAAAAACATGAGGGAGTCAACCAATTAAGTTCAACATAATATATTTGAGTTGAAAAAACAAAATTTCCTTATGGAAGATTACATCATCACTCTTGATGTTCCAAGATTAAGCAAACAGCAGCAACATTGAAACAATGTCATAGTTTAGTTGTGAGAAGAATTACTGTAACAGAAATAGCCATATTGAAAAATAAATGAACTTATACCAATCAAGATTAATTAATTAAGTATGGTGAAATTCTTAGTAGTTTCACTTGTTACCTCAAAGGCAGACAAACTTCAGTGGTTGACTATTAGACCCTATATAAAACTGATGCATATGACTCTTATGAAGATGAATTCATACAGAAATAATAGTGTGGCAAAGAACAACTGAAAATTGTAGTGAAAAGGAAAACGCCTCTTCGAATTACTGAATGTTTGTGAGAGAAATGGAGCATTCCTTAGCGTAAGAAAACTTGAAAATTCAGACTGTTTGCCTATTACTACAGCAACAGCAGAAAGATCATTCTCTATCCCAGGGTTGTCCAATCTTTTTTCCTAATGGGGCAAATTAGAAATTTAGGTATATTCGAAGGGCCACAAAGGTACTTTATATAAATATATGCTTTTAAAATGTTCAAAATGTGAATATCAAATTTTAATAACAAATATATAGTATTACTGATAGTAAAAAAAGAAATTACTCACACAAAATAAAAATAAATTCAAAGCAATTTTTGACATTACCTTCCTTGTATAATATTGTCAATATCTGCTTTTATGATACTAGTCTTAATTCTAAGAATGTTAGTTAAATGGGAACCACTCAACCTATTTCTTTCAGCAGTTTTGATGCTTTTAATGCATGAAAAGAATTGTTCACAACAGTATGTACTACCCTGTATGCATAACAGTTCTCTAGATATAATTATTGGTGTTAGAAAACTGTTTTGTCATTATAACATCAAAGTGTATCCAGTGAAACGAGAATAAGTTTTATGGCATACTTAACAAAATAAATGAAAATATACCTAAAAAATTTAGGGTGCAGTGGGCCACAGTGTGGCCTGTGGGCTGGACATCCCCGCTCTATCCTATGCCAGCTAAAAACATATCTTAGAAATTCCATGTTGGAAGAACATCTAAATGACCTTGCTTTGCTTTATTAAGCATCCCCAGAGATTAGTGAGGAGGTCATAGATTGGTTTATAAAAGATTTTTCATACAATTTTTACACAGTGATAAACAGCATTTTATAGCATGTATCTAAAATGCATTAGACATGATTTGATTTTCTTAATGTATGCTCTTACATATCTATACCAATTGACATCCTTATGATTATGTCAATAACCTTGTCCCATCAGCGCCAACAAAAACAACAATTGAATGTAAGATTAACTTGATATTGTTTCACTTAATTAAACTAAAAAGGAAATTTTTCATAGTAGAAAAAGAAAAGAATTTATATATTTAAGATTTTACACAGGAAACAAGCTGATATCTATAGAAGACAATATTACATAGTTGGGAATCACATTCAATTTTGAATAACTTCAAAGTACACTTAGGAGTTTAGGATCAAGCCACAAAAGATTTCAATACAAAGTATTCCATTCAGAAAACCTAAAACAATAGTACAGAAGTTGCAAACACACATTTGGTTACAAAATGTGATTTGACAATTTGATCAACCTTTCAAACTGCATTCTCTTGAAATAGTGCTAAGCCCCATTTCCACTATCTTGTCCCAATCTCCTTAATTAAAAAATAAAACTATATTAACCAATTTAATTAAGCTTAATTCACTGATTAATGCCTTATCAACTACACTAATCCAATTTGGATTATCTATATGATTTAGAAAAGATTGAATGTTCTGAGGAGTGATTTTTCTAAGGGAGGATTGTGACTGGCTATGCAAGTACATCATGAAGTCAATAGGCAATCAGTCTTCAGAAGAAAAGTAAAAACTAGTAAGTGTTACATCAGATTAGAAATTAACAGGAATGAAGTAATTCATATTTTTAAGCAAATGAACCTAATGTGTCTAAATTGTAGGAAAGTATCTAACATTTTGGTTATATAAATCTTGCAAACTTGTTAACACCTTTGTAACAACATATGTTCTGAATAGCACAGAGCAGGATCAAAAACATTATATAATGTTTATGGCCATCTTTCAATCTTAAGACCAACAGGCTTAACATTATTAAAATTTTTATCAATGATATTTCCAAACCCTTAGTTCTTCAGTATTGATATATAAAAAGCCCAATATTCAGTTTCATATAAAAATTATATTAGTCCAGGTCAGTCTGAATAAATAATACTTATATCAAAATTCAAAGAGAAAAGTGCTATTACTTAAAAGCACAAAATTCTTTATTTTTTCACATAAGTACTGCAATGGACTTGATATGGAATGCCATAGATCTTCAAAATATTCTCAACATAACAGTGGATAATTATAGAAATAATTTGGCAAATATGAGAAAAAGTACATATCTTAAAAAAGTTGTCTTAGTGTAAAAACATGTTATATAGCTTATAAATCTAACACAATTATTAAATATCCAAAATTTAACTTACAAACAGGTAAATATGTAAAATTTTTTAAATATCATCAGCTCATTACTGTAATTTATATCTCATTTGTAATAGGAGTATTAATGTATTATAAAGATAAGTTTATATATTATATACCATATTTCTTGTAATTTGCTAGATAAAAGAACATCACAGAAAATTTCCACAATGTTAAAATGTGTTTTCTTTTTTCACATTTTGACTGTGTTAATTTATAAAAACCATTGCCTTATGAAAATTAAGTATACTTGAAACAATATTGATAAATTTTTATAAATACAATAAAAAAAACTACATCAGAGATAAATCATTTATTTCAATTATTTATTATGAAAAAATTATTTCTCCATTCAATCTGAACTAGTTTACTTTAAAATAAATGTTTTCAGTGGATCTGAGATATGTGACATATGGACAAACTTTTTGAATCTAAGATTATTTGACAATAAGCTATGCATTAACATAAACTTATTGCTATAAATCAAGATAGTCATCAAAAATTTAAAAAAATATATTTAAAAAATTTATTTTGAACCTGAATTCATTACTAGAAATAATTAATAATTTATATATATGAAATAAAAGATGATTGTTGTTGAGAAAATCTTGGTATAATTTACTTAATATATTATATTCAATTAAGGAAATTTTTTCGATTTCTGTTGATGATTGCCAACAAAAGAAAATAAATATGAATGTCATAAAACATTAAATTTTCCTAAATGAAACTAATAATAATAAACATTGTTTTTTTAATTATTTTGCTATCAGGAATCAAAGGATTGAAAATAAGGAATAACTGTACCAACATAACTTCTGAAGTCAAATTTTGATATTGACTATTTCTATTCTCAGCATTCTTTCTTCTATTAAAAAATCCATAAAATTAATTTCATTTTATCTTAAATGCTTTCAGAACTTGTCAATACTAATGCTGTAAAATTGTAATTATTTAATATATTTTTAATTTAACAAATTATTATTTTGTTATTTTTTAAATTCATTTTGATTTCACTTGAAAAAAATGAATTTGGCACACAGAAAATGCACATTCATTTTTCTATATTGCATATAAACTAAATGCCAGTATTTAAAAAGTATGAAGAAATGTGAAAATTTATTTTTAAATTTATAATTGCTTTAAGTGAATTTGTTATTTTAAAAAATATTTATTATTTCTTTAAATAAAATTTTAATGTAAATAACTATATAAATGCAATAAATGGATGATATTTTTTTATTGTTTAGTTTCATTATAGTTAGAAAACTATATTTTCAGTTATTTTTATTTAAGAAATTGATTGTATAATAATGATTTTAAAAAATGGAGGAGGATGGATGAATTAACTTCATTGACATTAATATTTTTCTGTAGTAGATTTATCATATTAACACTCAAAATTTTAATCCTTGAGTATGATAAGCTATTTTATTAGTTTTTTATTTTCAAATTAAAATAAAACTCATTCTCTATAATTTAGTCTCATCTTTGTACACGCATAATTTTGCTATTATTGAAAGTTATATTTATAGTAAATGTTTCTGGATTTTAATAATTTATAAGTTTGAATTTTTATAACAATATTTTTATTCCAATTTAAAAATATTTTTGAATTGGTTAATATTCATTTAATTTGAGAAAAATCTAGTGATTTAGATACATTGAATTTTATATTAAGTAATAAGAATTTCAATTGATTGAATATAAATGTTTAAAATTTAATTGATAAACTAATAATAAACAAAACATACCCAAATTATATTTCTGCACATTAAATAAATTAATTGACTTAAGTCAATAAAATATAATCTGTAAATAAATAAAAAAAAAAAGGTAGAAAATTTCTATGTCAAAAATAATTTTGAATTTCATATATATAAATTACTAATTACTATTCATAAATGAATCAAGGTTCAAAACGTATTTTTATAAAATTACATATTATGGCTGGCAATATTTTTCATTATATTCCTATGTTAAAAAATGTGTAATTCATATTAAAACATTATTATTAAAGTTTAAATATACATTTGAATTACTATAAAAAATGGATGAATAGAATTTATCAAATGGTTTGATATATTAAATAATTATCTGTTAGTTTAATTGTAATGGGAGGAAATCTGTTTTTAAATTTTATCAAGGATGTTCTAAATAATAAACATTGTGATTCATATCAAAGCTAAATTTGGTAAATATAATTTAAATTTTATTAGGCAACATTCGTTCTAAATGTAAATTAAAATGATCAACTGATACACAGTGCACTTACATCTACTATAAATCACAATGTTTATTTTACAATCAATTAACAAACCTATTGACATAACAATAAATAATTAGCTATTAAAAAACTATATAAATAAATTATTTTTCTAGAAAATATAATTCACTCATACTATTCAATTTAATACATTTACCATCAAGCATTTTCTTTGCCTTTCATTCTTATATAGTATATCTATAAAATAACTTTTACAACAATCATGTTAAATATTTGAAAACTTACTTTTTTTAAAAAACAACTAATAACTTTTGTTTCACAAGTTACAAAAAAAAGTTTTTATAAACAATATAAGTTAATTAAATTTTAATTATTAATTCTTTGGCATTATCAGCAGTGTGTTATTTTTCCATCATTTTCTTCTTCGGTAGTGTTTACCCTAGGATTATCGGTAGTAATTAGTGATTGATGAGCTAAAAAGGCAAGGTTTGATGCCTTAAGTCGCATTATGCTGTTATTAATTAAAGAAGGTGATGGACTAATACAGGGTGTTGAGCAATGGGAATTTGTGAGATCACATTGGTCCAAAAGTCTAAGTAATTCATGTGGAGAAGGACCACCATTATGATTAGAAACTAGAAAAAAGATTAATTTTCAGATAAAATATTTTTATTAAATAATAAAAACTAATAGATATGATTACTTTAAAACTTGCCTGCTTCGCCTTTAACTGCCAAATCAAGAGCCGTCGTCAAGTCCCACATCTAAATGTGTAAAAAAATTTTCATTTTAACCAAATTTTTATAAACTTTAAAATTTATAAAATCTGAACAGATACTACCTGAATAGCTCCATTGCTGTGTCCTGTAAATATGTATCTTCGAGGCCGAGAACCCATACGATTTGAACCTTCACACTCATGAACACAAAAAGCACTAATTGTTGTACCATCTACTGATCTGATGATACATATTCTGTAAGAATTCATGTATTTTATTTTAGTAAAATATAAAAATGAATAAAAATTAAACTGAAAAGTAAAATTGTAATTAGCACAAGTAGCACATTGTTTGGTTTATTTAATAAATAACGATACCTAAAGTAAAATCTTTCTATCTAAAAAAAGTCTATGCAGAGAGAGAAACAACCAGATATATGTATTAATCCAACATAATTATTGTACAAGGTTCCTTGGATTAGAGGGGTTATATACAAAGAACAGGAAGTCAAAAAATGACTACAGACACACAAAAAATGTTTATATTAATTTTACAAAAATTTCTCATATTTTTAAACAATAATCTATTTACAATTTCTTTTTGTTTTTGAATGGAACATATAGCAGAAAATGAACAAAAGTAATTTGGATTAAGTAGAGAGTTCAAATTAGAGAAAATGTACTGTATTTATAACTTCAGTTTATTAGTTTTTTTAATTAGATGTGTCTGTTAATTACTCACTCTCTCAGTTAGTTGGTAAATGTAATCAATTTAAGTAACTTTTAATTTAAAATTAAAAAATATAAATTCCATATTAGAATTTATTTTTCTATTTAAGAAAATTTCTAAACTTAAAAATGATGCCTTGCTAACCAACTTTGCAACATCGATGACAGAAATTACTAATGTTATAGCTATAACTATAAAATAGACTTCTGTCTATAATTTTGTTAGCGACAATAATAATTCACTTTTTATTTGAGATATAATCAAAATTTTATTTAACAGTTCTGATTCTAAATAACACAAAAGTGTGGAGATTTATTAATATTGTATAAAATTCTAACTTGCCTTTTACCAGTTGAAGCATATCTAACATATAACTGATCAGTTTCTGGCACAACTTTTTGAATGAATACTTGTTCATCATCCTGCTCTCCATATGGTCCTATAAAAATAAAATATTAAATATTAAATTTTATTTTAATAACATGATTATAAAACTACAAAACTTAACTCACCACAATCATTACCAGTACCGTAACTTATTCCAGGTTCTAATTCTTCAAGAGAAACAACTTTAAATGATGCAAGCGGAGTCGAACCTGGCTGAGTAGATATCATACCTCTAAATCTTGTTACGCTCCACGTGCGTACGTGATTATATTCAGAACATGCTGAAAACAAAAAAAAAAAAAAAAAATANAAAGGTTATCCGGACACTTATCTAGAAATCGATATTCGACTGGAGTGAGAAAATGGTGGATGTGAACTCGACCGATGACCTATTTAAGGTTTACGCTTTGGGATGAGGGATGAACTCTGTAAGAAATATTTTAAAATATTACGGGGGGGTGGCCCGAATATCGATTAACCGTGGAAGAAGCTAAATCGCCGTCTCTTCCGAAGTAATTTACTTTGGAAACGTGTCAGAGAGCGCGGTTAACCGGATGCAATCGGTGAATTTCGCTAGGTTTTAACGGTTAACCGACTTTTAGACCACCCCTTACGTAGGGTTTGAAAAAGTAAGTACGTATTTTGTGCGTGTTTATGTGTGGTTTACCCTTTTACGTCTCGGCGTGCGAGGGGTGTCGAAGGTTACTTTTTTTTTTATTGTGAATTTTTTTGGTGGTGTCTTCCGGTAAAAACAATAACCTAACCGGGTGTAGGATAGTAAAAAGATTCTGTAACGCCAGCAACGCGGAAACTAGCTACAGTCAACGACCCGACTTTTAGTCTTCGATAGATACGAGCGAAGACAAATTGGCACAGTTTATAGTCACGTGACTAGGATAGTAGTGTTTAAAGAAAGGAGGCAATTATAGCATCTACGACGTAATTAACCGAAATCCACGCGAGAGGGAAACTTTTGACGAAATTTCCCTAAAAAAAAAAAAAAAAAAAAATTATATTACCATTCTTAAACAAAATAAATAAGGCTTTAATAAAATCTTTTAATTTCTAACCTGAAATAAGATATTTTTCAGATAAAACAACTTTTGTAACTGGACTACGATGAACTGTAAATGTCTGAAATAACTGTGGACCATGACCGACTGTTTCTGGATGCTGAACAATAACTCTAACTGTTCCAGAGCTTGTGCCATAGGCTATTTCTATCCAGTTTCCACAAAGACCTAAAAATTTTATATTACACTTTTGACTTCAAAATTAAAAATAAATTATAAATATCATGTTTAAAATTATTCAAGATTAATAATAAAAATTTAGCCTGTTGGCATTCCAGAAGGAAAAAAAGCTCTTTACATTCCCTTATATAATAATAAATAATAGATAACTTAATAAGATAGTAATCTACAAAGTCATTAATCAGAAAAATTTTCAATTTAATATTAATTTTATGAAAATATTGTTAAACTGAATTATTGCAATTAATTGTATATTTATGCCAATTCAGTTAATTACAATATTTTACAAAAGTTTCTAAATTATAAATCATGAAATAAGAAAATAATATATCATTAAATGGCTCTGATCTAGATAAAAAAAAAAAAGAACTATTATATCCAGCTAATGCCAAATTAATCAAAAAATTTTATTAGGTATATTGAAAATCTTTGTGTACATAAAATAAGTTTGAAGAAATGGTTTTAAAGTTAATCTAGATTTTATGACAAAAATAAACTATTATTTTAAAATAGAGAGAGAAATTTCCATAAATGTTTAGACATTTTCAAATTATTTTAAAACAGTTTTGATAATAGAAAAATGTGATTAAAACCCAAATTTAGAGGTTTCAAGGTATACTTTAATGAAAGTAAGTGAAAATATACATCCATATTATTATCATCAACATTATCTGCTTAAGATAGCCTGTGCTATATTTTAAAATTAAAATTTTGTTTTAAAACAAACATAGTCAAATCCCATTATTATTGGATTTTACTATGGTTTATTCATAGTCTGCATTAATGCAAAATAGATTTGCAGTGGACAAGGATAAGCATTTCAGTGTTAATGAGTTTGGTTAATACAAAATATTAATCAATATGTAATATCAAATGTGTTGTGGTTCTGTGGATTCAATAACAATTACTTTAAAACCCTGGATACAGGCTGCTCTTGTATATACAAATCACAAAAATGAAAATTGTAAAGGAATGTTGACACTTTCATAGATAAGTTGCTAGCATATATAGCAAGGTTTTAGAGCCTATAGCCAAAGTTTTAGAGTACAATTCCAGAATAAAAACTGAGAGGAAAGGAACAGTATCAAGAATATTATTATTTATGTAAATCTCACTCTGCTACAAACTAGAGTTAATCATCATATCTTTAACTTACCATAATAAGTTTTATGAGAAAAGTTCAGGTTATTTTTATGGAAAGTTACTGAATTTTATTACATTTTTCCCAGTAAATACTGTAATTACAGTATTTACTGGTAATCATGTTTTTCTTGTATTAGTTTCTCCTGTGCATGAGCTATATATGATGAATTTTATGAATATAATCTCATATAGACCATGGCCTATAGCCAAAATTGTAGGGTGTATTATTATTGTTTAATATGAAGCACACTTTTCCAGCTTCTACAAAGTCATATGAGCCATATTATGACCATGAATGCATTTTTCAACTTTAATAGTAGCTACAACAACGTCAGTGTTACTGACTTATGACACCAGTGTTATCATTATTGTCAATGCAGTATATGCCATACCAATGATCTTCACACCAACTCAAAAATAGTTAATAGGATTGGATAATTTTTGATTAAAAAACTGTCTTATAAAATACTTATTATTTGTAATTGCTTTAATAATGGAAATAATGAAACAACTGAATTACAAATATTAAATACTATAATTAGTTTGTAATTTAAAATTAAAAACAAATCATTTCCATTGAAATCCAAGCAAAACCTATTTTTTAATTTGTAAAGTATTATGCATATCCAACTCCTGGATTCAATTTGGCAGCAAAGTCAGCCTGTTATAACCAATAACTCCTTCACTGTTCTACCAATTCTAACCAATGTTGAAAAATAAGCATTGAATCTTTAAGCTAGTTATATTTCAATAAAATGTACATTTGGAACAATACATAGTTTATTTATTTATTTTAAACATATCAAAATAAGATAAAACAGTGAAATAACCGGAAGAAAATCTGATTTTTACCATTGCATGATACAACTTGATTTGTTTGTTGTAAATTTTGCATAATGCAACCTTATTAATACAAAGGCCAATTTTAAGTCCCCTCAACTTTGTATTGATAGGGTTTGACTGAGTATTTTGTATAACTTCCTTAAAAGTGAAGAAAGAAACTGTTAATTTTGTATATTAAGCATATAAACACCTTGAAGCCTGATATTCATAATAAAGCCAAACGATTGCCTGATTAAATTGGGGTACTTTACTGCTACTATTTAATTAAATAATATACAGCATGCTGAGGTAAAGCAATAGCTGGCTGAGTGCCATAGCAGGTGATTATAGACCATGGGTAAAGTGTCGCTCCAGTCAAAGCTGTAAGTAACCGAGGATAATTATGTCTAAATTATATATGTCTTGAAGTGAGGGATCAAACAGAGGTCCAGGTAGTGTAACTGGCAATGCATCCACATGGTAAGCAGCAGTTGTGAGTTTGAATACTGTTCTGGTTCACTTCTTTTCATCCAGAATTTTCTAAAAATTATTCAATATTAATTATTAAATTTAATAAGAGATGACACATAACACCTACCTCTAGTGCCAAATTATTTAATTATTAACAGTAGTGTCCCAAACTAGACACCAACCAATGCCAAATTCTATCAGATTAGACATGGCTATAGGTCTTAATAACTTTATTAATTATAATTATTAGTTATTAAGAGATGGTGCCTAATTCCTCTCTCTAGTACCAAATTGATTGCGTAATATAAAGTATCCCAATTTAATCCGGTAATTATTTGACTTTAATTTTGTATGATATACCTGTTTTAGATATATATTCTTAAATTTATTAATTCTTGATAAAATCTAGTAAAATTATAATCTAAATTCATCATATTTATATTGTTTAGCACATTAAAGAAAAAATTTTTTCTGGAAGTAGGCTAGGGATGAACTTTGTAGGCTCCAGGAGGTCATATGCATTTTTTTCTTATGGAGTTGCAGGCTTTATATTATTTTAGTATTCAGTAGGTTTAAACTAATGATATGTAAATTAGTAATATATAGTTTATTCTCATACTTTTACAGGTCTAGTTTAGTTTGAATATTCTTTGTCACAGTATCATCTTAAATTAATTTTAATTTAAATTAATTAAAACCCCTTAAGCCCATAACCCGAGATATCTCGGGCAATTATTAATTAGCATTGCATAACAAACATAAGGCAGAAAACAGGAAAATAAAATTACATTACCAAAGCCCCAGGAGCTGCATAGTAGGACCTCACAGGCAGCATGTAGCCCACAGGTTGTTCATCATTGGTTTAATATAATTTAAGATAACTTCAAAAATTAATTTTATTTACAAAGCCTATACAATAATTAATCTTTATTAAATTGAGTGTTGAATGAATGTTGCATTTTCTTATATTTTAATATGATTTCATATGCATTTGCTTGTGCAATATTATATAAGTAGAAATGTTTTATAACATAGTTTGCTATTTAATTTTATAATTCAATCATTGATCAATAAAAATTGAAAACTGAATCAAAACTAACAGTATTCATATAAAATGAAGCATGAAATGCCATAACATTGTAAATGCCATTTTTCTCTAAATACATTTTATTAAAGAATTGAATTCTAAAAGCAATATTTTCTTCTGCAAAAAATATTGTGACAATAGTGGCACTATAAGTGGCTATATTTTGAAGTTGAATTTACATACAAGCCATAATGTTTAAAGTGCCAAAGTGCAAATCACATGATGTTTGGTGCTTTAAAATGTTAGTGCTTATGTTTATAACATTTTGTTACTCCAGTAAATTTGTAACCTAGTGAGTTTGTTTACCCTTTTATTATAAAATTGAAATGAATTCATTCACTTTCCTCAAAAAAGTGTTTTTTTTACCTCCCCTGAAAAGCTTATTTTTTGCCATTTACAACATTATGGCATTGCATGCTACATATATTCTGTCATAAAACATTTCATATTTGGCTTTGATTTCAGTTTGGTCATTATGATGATGATGATGATGATGAAAAAAATTAATAATTCATTTTTAATAAAATTATATCACAATCTTATTAAGGAATTCATGGAATTTTTTCAAAAGAAGAATTACTGTTATGTAGATATAATAGATAACTAATCAGAACAATATTTTTAGTATAATTATAACAAGATAATTACATAGCATTGTAATAATGTTAGAAATATAATTAATACAATCTTTTATAAAGCTATAAATAAAAATATCAATGTATATAAAATTTTATATTAAGGTTGTGTGATTTCTTTAAAATATACATTATATCAACATATTTAGCAACATACTTATTCAATAAATGCAATTTGAAAGTTCATATCCCATTTAAAACAAAAACTTAACATTAAAGATTAAATTAATTAATTAATGTTCTCATTCATAATATCTCAACTATAATTATTACCAATAAGCTATCATATATTTTGTAAAATTTTAAATCAGAACTTGCTCTTTAACTAGTTAATTTATTAAATTATGGCTTGGGCAATTTTTTTCCATTTTATCTTTCTAAATTTAATTATCAATTATTTTAATGATCTATAAAGATGATAAACATATTTGTATCAACTGCAATTACCCTATCATCTCTGATCACCCTGTAAACAAGGTTATTCCCAGGATACATTTGGTGTCATCTGCTTCCTCCATGGATAACCAAGCTGACATTAATATCTATACAGACGGATCCAACAGCCCCCTTCATATCAGCTCAAGTGTCTGTATCTTTCTCCAAGCAGACATATTTTGCCCAAAATATGTTAAAAGGTACAGATACCCCCACATACCTCCATCTATCATGCTGAAGAAGATGCTGTCTACCAAGCTGTTTAGTGGGCCACTTCACTACCAAATAAATCTCTGTCTATCATCATTTACAGTGATTCTCAGTCTGTCCTAAAAACACTATTAAATCCCAATTGCAATAGCAATAAAATCACATATATCCAGCACCATATAAAA